TAGGCCTTCCTTTAGGAAGTAGATGTGCCCATGTGGTTGGGATGCCTCCCATTTCAAGTGGCACTCATTGCCTTCATTTGGCAGAGGGTAGCCAGAGTGATTTTTTGCATCATAAAAGTTGAGGAGGTTACAGATTTTTTTTTCTACTGTTCATTATCTTTCATCTACTCCCTGTTTGGAAGGAGCCAAAAAATATAAACTCTTCCTAATTTCTCATGGCTCAGGGTTAGCAGGAACATTGTTATGTACACAGCAAGGGCTGCAGGTTTTAGGAAGAACTGACAGACGTGACAGGAACTCGAGCATCAAGATGGGACAGATTTGATAGCAACCAGTTTGAATTTCATTTCCAGCACCACAAGGCTTGAAGCATGTGTCAGTGGTTCCAAAATGAAGAAGTGATGTTTATATTTTCCAACTGCCCTATATCCTCTTTTTACAACATTTTAGTTATTAGTTGAATTCCTGGTATTTAATAGTTATAATTCTCAGGAAATGGACCATATGTATAAATTCCTTTGAGTTTGTGAAAAAATTACTTTGCTTTTTTTTTTGCACATTAACTGTATTGTTTAAGTCTTACACGCACTAAGCAATTCAAAGGAGATGATATTGAACACACCATAAAGTCTATGACTATCACAGTGAGTGAGCCCACAGAACAGAGTTAGAATAAAGAAAAAGCCAGAGTCTTAAACCTAGAACACAAGATCATGAAGCATTAATGATTAGAAAGCATGTTACTGTGTGGGGGGTGTAATATATTGTGGAATCGCCTGTGTTACTCATGCAGAATGGTTTTAGTGCAATAGAATATGTCCTCACACAATAGAATATGGCCCTGGCAATGTAAACAGTAAAGAGATAGGTTAGAGGGATCAGAGCTACTTCATAGAATTACTGGGGAGGGGAGAGTAGTGTGAAGTTAAGCTCAAATTTTGCCCCAACCATCATCAGCATAAAGAATATTTTTACTAATGCCACCAAGAATTGAATATCACAACTGCCACTTAACTGCAGTGGTACTGCTGGTGCCATGTCCGTTTCTTGCTTGTGGCAGGAACACGATCGTGTCTCCTAAGACATGGAAGGAAGCTCATGTGTGGCCTATACCAGCCAGGCTGGAGCTCCCCGCAGGCCGCTTCTCAAGCTGCTCATTCCCTCATCCCGGGGCTGAGCAGTTCCATGCCATGAGCAGACCTCAGCCCACATGTCTGGGCCTTAGTGTGTATGTGTGGAGGTGGTGTGGGGGTGAAGGATGAGATTCAGCACTTTGACTTCTATACTGGAAAAGAAGGCTCAAGATCTAGACATTTTCTCTAATGGGGAGGGACTATTTAAAATGTATTAAACAGACATAAACTCATGCATTTAACCAAATTCAAGTGACAAAATTGAAGAAAGGTAAACATGAACTAGAGGTCAACTACTTTGAGTATTGTGCTGTTTGTTCTGGGAGGCTGGGATAGGGGACTTGGAGAACAGAGAAAACCAGGTCATAAACAAATAGTTAAGTAGAAATGGTACTGTGTTAGGTGGCTCAAACTATTGCATCAAATATTGGGGCAGGAAAGAGTGATGGAGCAAAGTGAAAACAAGGGATTGTATGACTGTATGGCCCTGGTTGGGGTTTTGAAGGTTGGTCTCACAGAGGGTGTGATATGTGAGCCCAGAGAAAAGGGGACAGCCATCGCCCTGCCTGAGGAACAAGCAGTGGAAAAGGCTTTAGCTGTGGGTTTTGCCTAGTGTGTCTGAGTGACAAGAAAGAGACCTTTGTCACAGGAACCAAGTCACCAAGGTGAATAGTTGGAGATGAAGTTGGAGCTTGGACATGGAAAACAGAACCTGCATCCCAGATCAAAGCAGCAACAGAAGAAAACAGTAGGCATGCAGATGTGCCCCAATCTCAGAAGAACAAGTTGCTCAGTTGGGTTGTAGTGTAGAGCAAATAAGAGGAAATATCAAGAAAACAGTTTGCAAAAGTATTCTGGAAGTAAAGAGTGTGTCCTGATGTTTAGGCTAAGCATTTCAGGTTCAGTACGAATGGTAATAGAGACACGGGGAAGGCTTCAGCTTGAATAATGTCAAAAACAAACATTGAATTTGCAAGAGGTTGAAACTGGATAGAAAACGGAGGTATTAGAGGACAGAAGAGTTGAAATGCTTTGTGGGGAGATGGAAACCATGAGACCTACCACTGAGGTGAAATTGTTTAGATAACTCAGCAATGAGGCTCAGAAATAGAGGGGTGGCAGTGGGTGGTGGAGGAGAGGATAAATCTGAGAAGGTGAAGCCACACTGGGGAGGGGGAAGAGCTATAAATGAAGCCGTTAAGCAGCAGATATATAAGAGCACACATTGACACAATACTGCTAAAGTACTGGAACACTGGTTCTTACGTCCCACCCCTTCAGACACCCAACACCCCATTACTCGTTTCTCTGGGTGCTTGGGCTTCTCTCTAGGGCTAGGACTCCACAGTTCAGCAAGTACAGAACTCACTAGTAGAGCAGAGAGAACTACTGGGATCTGTTGCTTGGTACCTGTCCAGAACTGTCTATTAACTAGTTTGAATATCATCCTTGACATGTGAGGATTTAGGAAAATTGGGTTCAAAATACCATTTCTGTGCTTCTGCCTCCTTAAACTCTTGAGAAATGAAATTATCAGCGAGTCAAATCACAGCCAGACAAGGTGAGGATTTATCAGATTCTCAGTCTTTAAGGGAGATTTCCCACTGATTTCCAGAGGACTGAGATTTTCAATCATAAGAATCTTGCTTATGTCCCTGCTTTGTAATGTAGAGCGGGAAAATATCAATTATATTTTCTGTTCAAACAGCTTTACTGATAATCACAGTAGTACAATCACTATAATATTGAGTAAAACTTTGCATTCCTTATGATATTCTTTTGTCTTTGGGTAAAAAAATCTAGGATTTAAATTACTACAAGCACATAGATTGAAAGCCCAATTTATTACATTATTTGTGACTAATAAAAATTATCAGAAAATATTTCAAATGAAAAATTAACATTGCGACTTTTGCCATGCATTTTCAATTTTCTTAAATTTATATATTATCTTTTTTTGGGTCTAGGTTTTCTCCTGTGAAATTCATGTGGTTAATAAAAGCAGTACTTGGCAGAGGAAGAAGAGAAGTAGAATGTTGTCAGTGACTCATAAGGACCTCAGTTCTATAATTTCTACCCGTTGGGATGTCTTTGTGTTCTGAAATACTATGGACTGAATTTAGAAGTCCAAGGTAGCATGAAACTCCTAACTCTAGCTCACTGCTCCAGAGGTCTTAAATGCCACATTCGAATGCACAGTGTGTAGGACAGAATGTGTCTTTGAAGTTTTTGACATAAGAGTAAACCACCATTGTGGAGTGAATTTATAACGCGTATTTTGTGAGAAGCATACTTACAAAGCTATCGAGATAATTGTATTTACAGATAAGAGGCAAGTGAGAAAATTACTTTTCAATTTAAAGGATTACAGATGCAGATGTGTAATTATATATGCTCCGACTTAATCTAATTCAACTTAAAATACATGTTACATTCTGGCCATGTTCAAGAAATAGGTATGAGAATTTCAGGAGAAAAGGGTGGATAAGATAGGTCCTTGAGGGGAACACAGAAAATGAAATGGACAAACAACTTCGACGCTAGATAAATGTGAAAACGTCTTGAGACAAATGCACACACACGTATGTTCAGGATTCAAGAAGAAAGGGCGCCTATTAATATTTTACATAAGTCAGAATTTCAAAATTAGAATGAGATATATATAATTTCCTTTATATATATCTGAGGCAGATAACTTTATAAAGACAAAAGGATTATTTTGCTCATGACATCTTTAGAGGTTCAAGGTCAAGCAGGGCAAGTCCTCTTGGATGGCCTGTGGGAAGGGTAACATGGTGCACAATGTGGCAGGGAAATGCATGTGGAAGAGCTCACACCACCAAACAGGAAGTCTGAGGGAGAGGTTCCCACCCACAGTGCCTCGTGACTACACCAGTGACCTAAGGGTATCTTCCAGCACTTACCAGTAGCACCAGCATGGGAGGAAGACTTCAGCCACGATGGACTCTTGTGTAACACTCAGCTTCCACTCAACCACTGCACATTTGGTGACAGAGAAAACAAAACCATATCTACAATGTTTTGAACAACTATTAAGTGCCAGGCATTGTGCTGAATGCACCATTTTACCTTGTAAAAAAATCAAATTTATAGACTATAATGTGATACCCTGATCTGTGTAATACTAGAAAGAGTGAGTCAAGTTTACTTGGTCACATCACCAGATTAATTTTTGGTGGTGATAATGTTAAGCACGTGTTAGACATTTTGAAAAATCAAAACTGCTAGTTGTCATTTCCATGCAGTATGTCAAACAGATCACTAAAACGTATTCCTCTAGTGTAACTCAGTCACTGTATAAGTTGGTCAGCGCATGTCTTTTCCCACCTCTCCACTTCCAGTAACCACTCTTCTAGTCGCTTTTTTAATAAGATCAAGTTGTGTAGCCTTCATAGATTAGATAATACAGAATTTGTCTTTGTATAAATACTTTACTTACTATAATATTTACTTGCCATAATGTCCTTCAAGTCCAACCATGTCTTCATCCATCTTGTGGTGAGTGACATAATTTCCTTTATATATATATATATATATATATGTATATATATGATGTATTCATCTGTTGATATATACTTCGGTTGCTTCCATATCTTGAAAGTTGTGGACAATGCTGATGTAAACATGGGAGCAAAGATCTCTTTGGCATGGGGATTATACTTCCTTTGGCCATATATCAAAAAGTAGGATTATTAACATTATTTTTAATTGTCTGAGGTCTGCCATACTCTATTACATAATGGATGTACTAATTCACATTCTTGCCAATAATGCTCAAGCGTTCCTTTTTCTCCACATCCCTGCTAGCCCTTGTTGTCATTCATTTTTTGAAGAAAGCCATCTTACCTCAGGTGAAGCAAGACCTTAGAGTGGTTCAAATTTTCATTTCCCCAATGAGTAGCGATGCTGGTCACTTTTCACACACTTGTTGGCTGTTATAGCTCTTTCTTTGTTGTCCATTTTTAATTGAATTGTCTGCTTGCAATTGAGTTGAATTCTTTCCTTAGACATTTTGAATACTAGATGTGTACCTTGCAAATATTGTCTCCAAACCTGTGGGTTGTCTCTTCATTCAGTTAGTTTTTCTCTTTGCTATGCAAAAATGTTTTAGTTCCATGAAATTCCAGTTGTCTATTTTTGCTTCTGTGCCTGTGTTTCAAGAATCCTTGGTAAAATATTATCCAGACCATTGTCATGGGGGTTTTTCTTCATGTTTTTTTTAGTAGCTTTCCATTTTTAGGTATGATATATAAATCTTGAATCCATTTTGAGCTGATTTTTGTATATGGTGTGAGATAAGGATCCAGTTTCACTCTTCTGTATGTGGAAGTCCAGTCTTTTTCTGGTACTGTTCATTAAACAAACTATGCTTTCACATCCTGTGTCCTAAGACAACTTTCTCAAAATTCAGTAAACTAGTTTGTATGAATAAATAAATATGAAGGACTGCAAGTATATAGATAACAGTCATGCCAGATGGTGTAAATGCTAAAGAGAACAACACTACAGTAGGGCTAAGAGGAATGAAGAGTGAGCTCCAATGGGTGGAGGTGGGAGGTGAGCTCTTGGAATTCTAAGCTGACTGGTGATCTTGCTATTTTTTGCTCCCATGTCTTCACACATTTTATGATAAGATATGTGACCAAAGAAGGACATGATGAGCCATTTGTCTTTGAGACATGAGCTTACACTATTTCATAGTTGTTATGTCACTAACACTGTCAGGCTTGGTTAAGCTAGATCAACAATGCATTAAAACCATCCATTTTCTTGTAATGGAGGAATTTATAAATTTATTAGTCCATTAGTTGTTAAGTGAAGGATTTAACTGTTACTGTGAGATAAAAAAAAATATTTTAAATGAGAATGAGAAAGTGAGATTACTATGTAGAGTCATCACCCAGAAAGAAACTAGGAAAAAAGTAAGCAGAGGCACGGGATAATTATTAGTAAAAGTTACAAATAATTTTATTTATATTTCTGTTTAATTAGACAGTATTATTGATAGCAACAGGTTTATTGTTTTATCCACTTTTTTAAAAGAAAGTATGTATTTGATACAGAGTCTCACTATGCAGCTAGACTCTTAGTGATTCTCCTGTTTTCACCCTCCCTAGCTGGGATTACAGGTGTGCACCACCATGCCTTGACTCAGTAGCCAGCTCAGCACACCCAGGGGCAGGGCTTGAATGGGGTGTGGTACCAGGGATCGAGCCTCATTCCCTGTGCTTGCTTAAGCAGGTGCTTAGTCTGATGAGCTATCTCACTGGCCCAGCATTATCAATTCAAAGAGACTGATTTGACATTTCTTTTTGAAGGTATTACTGCTGGGGTCCTTGATACCCATAGAATATGTAAGTAATATTATATATCTGCAGAGATATTAAAATAATTTATCCAGAGGAGGTATTGTAGGAAGAAAAATGGAACATAAGAACAACAGGTGTTGTAGATGTGGTTCTTAGTGGAGATAGCCATGGAGTCAGTTGAATGGAAGTACGAAATAATTGACACATTTCTATGGCAGGTTAATTTTAGAGAATAGCATTTATTTAAGATGTAAAAATATAGAATTTCTTATTTTTATTTTGTTTCTTAAAGAGTATGCAAATTAATGAAAGAGAAACAAATTGTTAAAATGCTGTAATTATGAAAGCACCTCATAGCAAGTGGGTGAGCAGCCTTAGGGCCAGGTGATCACAGTTAGTGACAGGGAGCCTTCAGGGTCCTGGGTCCCCTCTTGTGCAGAGGAGGGCAGACCCTGTGCACAAGAGAGCTACTGCAGCACAGGTTGAGCTTTCGGAATGTATTTTTCCATAAGATACACTATCTGAAAATACACGTTCTTCATTTTCCAAATAATTTAATATTGGATGTTTGAATGAAATTTCAGAAAACAGAAATAAAAATTATATGTATAATGTATTTTTAGGAACAAAAAAGCTCACAAGATGCCTGGGAAGCATAATTTGTCTTGAAAAATTATTTCCTGCTCCAAATCTAATAGGAGCTATTGTGTGATTTTCTCATGACTGTGTTCTTTAAAATGAGAAATATTTTCTGTTAAAGTGAAACAGAAATTTATTTAACTTGAAATCTATTCTTAAGTCTATTTAATTGAGAAGAAGCTTCTTCAGTAATTTTTATTTTCTGGACACCACCTGTAGGGCTTATATTTTATTGAGGGAACAACTGTCAACACAAGTTGCTCGGGTAAGACACGCTATGATGTGCTTACTTTAGTTGTGTTTCCAGTGCCTCTGGGAGTACAAGGGATGAGTGGTTTCCAGTGTGACCCTCCCCTTCCAGGGGTTCTTAACTAGGGCAGGAATGCTGAGATTATAAATTCCACTTATGTTAATTGTTATCTACAGTGGGAAAGAATGAAAGGTAACAATATGTTGTGTGTGTTCTGATACACTGACCTTCTCTCGCATGCACTAGTGAGTGTTTACAGGAAGAGTCATGAGCAATAGCACATCCGCAGGATCATTTGCTCAGCATTTTGGAGGTCCATAGTCCATGTTTTTAGATATCCTTGATGTTATTTGGATAAAGCTCAGATTTTAAAGTTGCAGTGCCTTTAGTACTATGTGCAGTGGCCATGCAGATCTTATGTACCAACAGAGATGAACTGTCAAAGATGAATTATACATTCACTCCAAAAATAAAAATAAAGTCATCCAATTTACCTGACCTCTTGTTTCTGTGATAGCTACAGGGTAATGATACTATGATGCCTAATTAGTATGTCAGAATATCATACAAGGTGGATTCATTGATGAATATTGCAATAAGTTTTGAATCATATGCTTAAAAATCGTATGTTTAAAACTCTTGGCAGAACCAGAAGGAGGAGCTGAGCCCTCCAGACAGGTGGGGTCTGTGAAGTTTGGTGGAGTGAAGCTTGGAGGAGTAGCTTAGAGCTAAGGCTGGACATGGTGAGCTGATGTGTACTGGTAGGCCCAGTGGGTATTAGGCTGTAGGCCAGATCTATAGGAAGATCCTTGTGGCACTGAGAAAATGGAAATATATTTCTTGCTCCTGAATAGAAAGAACCAACACTGTAAAAGTGTGCATACTCCCAAAATTGTTATACAAATGTAGTGCAATCGCTATCAAAATACCATCAATGTACCTCACAGATCTAGGGAAAACATTCTTAAAATTGATTTGGAACCAGAAAAGACCTAGAATAGCAAAGGCAATCCTGGGCAACAAAGGGAAGGTAGGAGGCACTAAAACCCCTGACTTGAAATTATAACTACAAAGCTACTGTGATAAAATCAGCATGGTACTTTTGAAAAAACAGATCTGAGGATCAATATAACAGATTAAAAGATGCAGATATAAGTACAAATACAGTCAGATGCCTTATCTTTGACAAAGGGGCCTAGCACATTCACTGGAAAGCAGAGAGCCTATTTAACAAACTGTGCTGTAAAAATGGCTCTCTACATGCCAAAACCTAAAACTAGACCTAGATCTGTCACCATGCCCTAAACCAAAGTCAAAATGGATTAAAGATCTAAATGTTAAAACAGAAGCACTAAATCTTATTTATTTATTTATTTATTTATTTATTTATTTATTTATTTATGTATTTATTTATTTTTTGCAGAACTGGGGATTGAACTCAGGCCCTTGCACTTGCCAGGGAAGCGTTTATTCCACTGAGCCATCTCCCCGGCCCTCCCTATGTGGGAATCTTGAAGACATAGGTGTAGGCAGAATTCATAAACAAAAACTAACTGCACGGGTAATACTTCAAAGAATCAACAACTGGGATTTCATCTTATTGAGAAGTTTCTGCATGTCAAAAGAAATCACCGACAGAGTGAATAGACAACTCACAAATTTGAATAGAATTTTAACCAATAATCACTCAGACAAAAGACTTCTATCTAGAATATATAAAGAACTAAAAAAAAAAAAGTTAAGCCCCCAAAGTTCAAAGACCCAACCCAAGAATTGGCATCTAAGGTGAATACACACTTCTCAGAGGAAGAAATATAATTGTGAAATAAATATTGAAAAAATGCTCCACATCATTGGCCATTCAAAAAATGCAAATTCAAACAACACTGAGATACCATCTCACCCCAGAAAGAGTGGCTGTTGTAAAGAAACCAACTAATAACAAATGCTGGACAGGCTGTTAGAAAAATGAAACACTTCTCTACTGTTGATGGGAAAGTAGACTGGTACAACCACTATGGAAACCAGTGTGGAGACTCCTCAGAAAACTAGGACTAGAAACCCCATGCAACTCAGCTCTTCCCCTTCTGTGTATTTTCCCAAAAGAACAAAAACATCATATCACAGTGATATATATATGCACCCCTATTTTTAGCAGCACAATTTGTCATAATAAAATTTTGGAAACAACCAAAATGCCCATCTCTTGAGAAATTGATAAAAATGATGTGATGTCTTATACAATGGAATATTATACAACTACAAAGAAAGACAAACTTGAGGCCTTTATAGGTAAGGGAATACAACTAGAGGCTATACTCATAAGTAAAACAAATCAGACCCACACGTGTAAACATTGTATTGTCTCCCTAGTGCAAGAACCTGAAAGAATAAATAAAACCTGAAAGGTATAATAGATGTAGTAAAATAAAAGAAACAACATATGGGATAAACAATGGAGATGAGGGAAAGGAGAAAAGATAGGAAAAAAAGGAATGGTGAAAATAATGCAAGCATATATACAGGATAACTGTACTCCTAATTTCTACCAGTTGTTCTGAAAATAGCAATTAATGTTTAAAATTCTCACGTTGACTAACTTTATATGCTAATATCTGCAATCTGAGCAACTACATCAAGGACAGCAATGTGAAATACAAAAACCACAGTTGAATACTTCTCATCTTGTTCCTCTAAGTGTGAAATTTTTAATGTCTTATCAATTATGATT